ATATTGAGAAAGGAAGTATGAAAGTTTGGAGACAAATCAAACGTTTCTTACCTTTTGAAGATACGGCATGTAATCTTTATCCTTATTAAACGAACCATACTCATTCTCCACCTGCACTGCAATAATGGGACCTCCCTGGTGGTACTGAGATAAGCAGAGTAGGGGGAGAGTGAGGCTACTGGTGCTAAAGTCTGGAGTTTCTGGGTCTGCTACTAAAGATAACACACCTGGTGAGGGACACTTTGATCCTTGTTATTTCCTTACCTCAAGGCAATCTCTTCCCTCCCCCGGGTCCTACAGTCAGAGTCACCTCCAGGTACTTTAGCTGCTGCAAGGAGTTCTACCTTCCCAATCTTTGTAGCGACTGCCACAGTTTTCCCTCTATTTCTCACATTAATTAGCTACTTAACTATGAGAGCGCAAACCTACAAACTCATTCCACTCCCATTCTACCCACTTTCCCACCTGACAAAGAAAGAGGTGTCCTTTCTCCCTCCTCCTGTCTTAAGGTAATGCCATCACTCATGCGAGGCGTTACCTGCCTCTCATCATCTTCTCAGGAGCTAATTCTAGCTCGCCATTCTTAAACTTCAAACCTTTCCTTCCAAATTGACTGACTTCCACCATCCTGGAAACTTATTCAGAAACTTCACATCAGAAAGAGAGAGAACAGCCCAGGATTATTTCCTCCAATAACCATTCTCTTACTCTCTCCTCCTTTGTTTTTTGTTTGTTTGTTTGTTTTTTGTTGGTTTTTTAAAAAGATTTTTATGGCTATTTAATTTTAATTTTTTTATTTTTCAATTATAGTTGACATTCAATATTATATTAGTTTTAGGTGTGCTCTCTCTTCTTTAAGATTCTTACTTCTTGAAAGAGTTATTAGTTATCTACTCTCTCTCGCTTTTAGTAACTTCTCAGGCTACTGAGGTAAAGCTTCCTCCCTGTCATACCACCTAAGCCATCAGCACTCACCTAGTTGTGCTGAAATTATAACACTTTTCAACGTTGAATTTAATCTTTCCACACTCCAGTCCTTCCACACTCAAGTCAACTCTCTGCTTCTTGAAGCCTCTCCACACTGAAGGCAGATAAACTCTCAACAGTGAACACCTGATCACTTCACTCCCACGTGGTTCCTACTGCCTCTGAGTAAATGCCTGTTTTAGAGGGAGGTATTCTCTTTTAGACAATGAGACATGAGATCCTGAGTTGGAACAGAGGGGAATGACCATGTTTGGTGGGTTTTCCTTTACAGCCTCACATTTTGCGTGTTTGCCACCTCACATACTATGCTCCAGACTGACTGGACTTCTTTTATTTTTTCAAACTCCTGATTCTCTCTCTTGTCATTTGGTCTTCACCCATGTTGGAGATTCCTGACCATTCCCCTGGCCTGGCTAAAGCCTGCCCACCTTTCAGGTCACTGTTTAAGTTACTTTTTCTGGAAAACATGCTCTGAATCTCCCTTTCTCCTACACTTCTTCCACTGTAGCAGTTACCAGTCATGTTGAAGTGCTTGTTTGTCTCTCATGTTGAGTTATAAGCCCCATGGGGCAGGGACCATGTCTGTGCTTCTCACCACTGAAAGCTTAGCTATTACACAGTGTTTGGCATATAGTAGGTGCTCAATAAAAACATAAGTATTCTGAACTGGTAACTAAGGATGATTGTTTGTATTATTGAACAGTATCTTCTCCCCAGCCTAAAAACCCCATAGTAGATGAATTCACAGTTAACCACATGAAATAAACAGGATTAGAAGAATAAATATCCCCAGTAAAACAATAAATATACTCAAAAAATTATTTAAATGTAACAAAACAATGAAGATAATCAATGAAATGAAAAAACTTTAAAATACTAATAATTTACTAATGATGAGCCCTATACATTTCATTTGTATTACAACTCCCTGTTTTTTAAAACTTTCCCAGAATTTCCCACCTTATGATTTCAATGGATGTTTATACATTTATTTTGCTTGCTGAATATATATGAGTGCTAAGTAGCATTTGTACTTATACCTGAACTTCCATCCAAACATTCAGTCTTTCTAGTTTTAAGACTCAGAAGTTTTTCACTCCTGTCACTCTCACCTTGATTGCAGAAATGAAGCCAGAAACATATGGCTTCAGCTCTTCTTACAAAGGATGTTCCTTGATTCCACCAAACAGACCCAGAATTTAATCCTTAAAGCAAGGTCTTCTTCCCCTCTGCATTACCCTTCTTTCCTAAAACTGTGCTGCTTTATTTCCATTTATAATCTCCCATTTCTTCTCTTTATAATTATCCTAATAAGAGTCACTCAAATTCACAATTCAGAATTATCTAGGAGAGATGACATCATAGAAATGGCAGCGTAAGGAGTGTTTCTTGAAATCTCCTCTGGAAGTACAACAAATTGAACAGCTATAATTCAACAAAGGACTCCCTACACATCACATAAGTATGCCTGAGAGACTCGCACAGTGAATCAGCTGAAGGTGAGCAAATCAGGCTAGCGGGGGAGGAGGAGGGAAGTGCAAAGACACAGGCCACTGGCCATGGCCCCAGGAAGCAGACAGGAGCCACAGCCTCAGGAGAGGGAAGAATTCAGGCTCCAGGCACACCATTTGTGACCCACAGTCCTGCCTGAGGGATCAGCATACAAGGCAGCTGTATCCAGCATTCGCAGGTGAGAAGGCTGGTTTAAGCCTGCACAGCCAGGCAGAAATCAGAAAACAAAGACACAGAGCCTGGCTGCCTCCCCTGGCAGAGCTCACCCCACCCCCACCCTCCTCAGAGTTAGAACTGGGCTTCAGAAGAAACAAGTGGCAGTGTTGGATTAAAGAACAAAATATCAACAACCCTTAAAACTGTACCAACAGTCCTGTGCACTCCAGCAACAGGGAAAGAGATGGGGAAGTGGGATGAGACAACCCTGGGCTGTTCAGAGCCACAAGCTCCAGCTGCCTTTCCGCATCCCACCCTGCCCCCACCTTTCTGGTCAGATCCCTGTGGGGTAATCAGAGCAGCAGGCTCAGCAGCAGGCTGCATGGGAAGCTATGAGACTTCAGAAGATTTGACCGGTATTCTCAGTGCATTTTCACCAGCTGGGGCAGAAACTGCACTGTCTGTAGAAACAACTGACCACACCCATCGCACACTGGAAACCTGCCTCACCCACCTAGAGCTACATTGCCAGGGGCATTCTGGGTGCCTGGGTGACTAGCCCCGTCCCCAAAAACCATGGAGGAGGTTTTTTTACAGCAACAAACAATCCAAAATGGCCTGGAGAGATTTTGGTGGTGAAGAATGCACTACAACCACTCAGGAGTAGCTCTGGGGAATTTGCAAGCCTGAAGTGGAGGCTGGCAACAGTGTCCTCAGGGCACAACACAAGGTGGTCACAGGCCAGGCGGAGGCATAAGATCTGGATCTGTATTAATGTTGTAAAAACCACTGCACACATTTCATAACTCACTTCAACTCCACCCCGGCCAGCTAGTGCCAAATCATCGAGGGCACTCTCAGCATCAAGTCAACCAGCCAGACATATGCTCCTAAGGAGCCTCTTTCAACAGTTGGGCCTTATGGGCAGCTGACAGGTGGCAACAGGCATAGAGGGCCCTGGGCCTATTGCTAAGCTGCCTCAGGCCCAATTGGTGGAAGCAAGCCTCAGTTCACAAAGAGGCCACCCACACATGCCTCCAGGTCCAGCACGGGCAGCAGCGAACTGCACACAGCTTTGAGTCACCTACCAGGTAGCTACAGACTGGTAACAGGCAGGTCTGAAACTATCTTGTATGGGAGCCTCACTCAAGAGACACCACAAACAATATACCCAGAAGCCAGCTTCAGACCAAACCAGAGCACCACCTGGTTTGACCTACAGGCGGCACACCCAAAGAGAATTCTCAACAGGCACAAGAGCCCTCAGGGACGAAGCCTCCACTAAGGGTGTCAGCCCTCACACAGCAGCTCATACACTGTGGGCATTGACAATCCTCAAAGCTATTCAGTGTGGGAGTCAATCCCACACACTGACACTCCAAAAGCAATCAAGGCTCAACTACAACAGAACACTCACAACACAAAGGACACCTCTGGAACACATGCACAGGAGATTAAGGAGACTGTGCAATTTTACTATAAAGGACACATACTACATAAAGTCACCCAGCAAAGACTGAGGGACATAGGTGTCTACCTAATATATAGACGCAAACACAAAGCGACAGCCAGAATAAGGAAACAAAGAAACATGTCCCAAATAAAAGAGCAGAAGAAACTTCCAGAAATGGAACTAAATGAAACAGAGGCAGTCAACCTACCAGAAACAGAGTTTAAAATACTAATGATAAGAATGATGAAGGAACTTAGTAAGAATTTCAAAAAAGAGATAGCAAGCATAAAAAAGGATATAGAAACCATGAAAAATAACCAGTGAGAAATAAAGAATATAATAACTGAAGTGAAGAATACACTTGAAGAAATCACCAGCAGATTAGATGAAGCAGAAGATCCAATCAGCAATTTAGAAGACAAAGTAGTAGAATTCACCCAATTGTAACAACAAAAAGAGAAAAGAATAAAAAACAATGAAAATAGTTTAAGAGACCTGTGGAATGATATTAAGCACAAGAACATTTGCATCATAGCAATACTAGAAGGAGAAGAGAGGGAGCAAGGAATTGAGAATATTTGAAGAAATAATAACTGAAAACTTCCCTAACCTGGTGAAGGAAAATGACATACAAACCCAGGAAGCACAGAGTGTTCCAAAGAAGATGAACCCAAACAGGCCCACACCAAGACTTATCATAGTTAAAATGGCAAAGGTTAAAAAACGAAGAGAGAGTCCTAAAAGTAGCAAGAGAAACACAGCTAGTTAGTTACTTACAAGGGGGCTCCTATAAGACTATGAGCTGACTTTGCTATGGAAAATTTGCAGGCTAGAAGGGACTGGCAGGAAATATTCAAAGTGATGGAAAACTAAGACTTACAACCAAGATTGCTCTACCCAAAAGGCTGTCATTTCAAATTGAAGGAGAGATAAAAAAGCATCCCAGAAAAGAATAAACTAAAGGAATTCATTACCACCAAGCCAGTATTGCAAGAAATGCTAAAAGGGCTTCTTTAAGCAGAAGAAAGGTAAAAAC